AAGAGGCAGTCTTCTAGCATTAAGAAGAGACTCCAGATTGCTTCCTTACTACAGTCTGTTGAAAAGAGCCAGGCCTGTCAAGTACTACACCTCACTTTTATGATGTCAGGTGTTAATTACACCACAGATGTCTACTGCAAAGGGAAACTGTAAACCCAGAAGGTATTTCCTACCAATCTTGCTAAAAGTCAGACAGCACTGTCCTCAAATACAGAAAAACATTGTCACTGTCATTTCATGTGTCATGAATATAACAAAGGTTTTACTTCACACAGCTGGGGTACAGCTTACACAATGACCAGTTGTATTCAAGCGGCCATTCATAGCTGGGCAAGCAGCATGTAACAGCCAGCTACAGTTCTGATCGTCTTCCTTCCATTTATTTGAAATATTGGGACACATACATATCCCTTCTAAAACAAGTCAAGTTTGAGACCTTTTAGTGGGGCTAGGGAGAAATTCTATGAAAATTAACCACTTGAGCCAGCGCCATGCAACAGTAAAGACAGCAGGCTGATGCATTTAGAACAGCTTCAGCTCAATAAGATGACACTTTGAAAACCAGAGTTTGGGAGAAAAATCCCACTGCTATCCTCACCTAAGAGATCTCCCTTACTAAGTACGCATAGAGGTCTCTAAGTTTACAAAAATGCTTGCAGTACAACTATTCTCACATGTTAAGCTGCTGCAGAGTAAAACTGACAGAATCTGAATTGGTTGAATCTATTATCTATCATTAATGCATAAAAAGTGTGCTGGTGACCTCCCTCCTGTCTTACTCTACTGGTTGAAAAAAACTAAATTTCCCCAAATATTACAGTAATAAATAGTTTACCAAAATCCTTCCTTGGAAAAAATACCTTTTCCCTTTAAAGGGTCACAGTTCTAGCATGATTGTTATATAATATATCATGTCCTTATTTCATAGTCACTCTTGTCCCACTGAAGTCATGTATTTGTGATTTTGTGAGTTGAATAAGAGCAGTTTAGGAAGCTGAGGTCATGTGGCGAAGGTTGTCTGATGAGGTAGCAAGCAATTAAAGTTTTCTTAAACTTTGAAGTGAAACAGGTTAACATAAGTCACTGCCAATTCAAATCATTGCATGTGGTTAGCTTAAACTCAATCTGCATCTGTTTACCCTTCGTACTCCTTCTGAATGTTCTGAAGAGGGGAAAAAAAAGAACAGAAACGGAACAGATGAAACATTCACACTAACTTTGTGCAAGAGAACGATTTCACATTCAAGCCTTATCAGCTAGTTTAGTTAAGCCAGCTCCTACATGGATTCCAAGAACACACTTACACCTTTACCTTCCATCCTGAACCATTCTTCCTATACAGCACATGATTCTGATCCTTTTTATAAGGACATTTAGTGGTATTTTACTTAATCAAGTTGAAACATGTTATTTGTACATAATAAATCGTTAGGGTGGGGGACGACGACGTCAATTTTTTGGAGGGGAGTCAGTGCGTTGTACTAATGGTTCAGTGACCTCCCCCACCATCTCATCTACTAAACTGATTAGATTCCAAATGTATTCTGCTAAGTACCAGTTACATAGAGATTAGATACATAAAAACCATTTGTCTTGAAAATTGTTTAACAATGCTTAGCACTTATCAAAAAGGCGTTACAATAAACAAACCTGTATTTGATTCTTTTATGTGTAAAAGTTTACGTGGTGTTAAATTATTTTCAGTTACCTAAGAACTTCTTCTGCCTGCCAGGCAGCATCTTCTTCCTCTTCCCAGGCGTTAGTATTTTCTTGCCAAGTTTCCAAGTCTCCCAGTTCAGGCTGAAAGAAAAGAAGAGAAGCTCTAGGCAAATGCAAAAAAACAGATAAAACATTTTTAACCTTGATGCTTCAGACTTTCAGAAATATTTGCAATATGACAATACTTCTCAGCTTATTGTCTATGCATTTTCCCCTGCTCCAATACTGACTTCTTCCCATTAATTGTTGAGAGGTTTTTTTGGATTCTATTGGTTGGTAAGGAAGGAAAGGCGGCAGGCAGGCAGTACTGGAGTGCATTTTTAGGAAAGAGAAGATACATTAAGCAGATTAATTGAGCAGACAGTGTAAAAGATTTCTAGAAGTTGCACGAACCAACCAACCAACATGCACATCCATATGTTTGCATGTCCCATCCAGTATCACCAGACTGCTGCTTTTACTCACTAGAAGTCCTTTCCTGAATTATTTTGGAATTGGTGTGACCATTCTGTACTGCTTTCTGCCTAGACCCTTTTGCAGGCTATGCTAATCAAAGCAGAAGCACTGTTAAATAAGGCAAAGAGGAAGAGAGAGAGAGTATCTCCCTCTAAATAGCCAGGCTATTAGGTGACTGGACTATTTTTTCCAAAGGCTAAAGAGTGAAAATTCGGACACTGTTAGAATACAATCCCTACAGAAAGGAAGGGAGAAGAAAGTTAAAAACAAATTTCAGAGGCTTTCAAGAAAAAAGAAGTCTACTCCTTTGTTAGGAACTCGCTGTGTGGAATCATAAAAAAAAATAACGCAAAATCCGTTGCTTTAGAAGATTCACAAGTATACAAGCATTTGGAAACAAAATTTTTAAGTTTCTCAGTAGCATAAATTAATAAAAATTAGATTTTTTACAACTACTTCATTGCTTTGAAACAAATACTCAATTTTAAAACAATCTACATGACTCCACAACTATTCCTCTTGCTCCCTGCAATGCAGACCTTAGGCAGACTATTCCTCCTCCTATAGAAGAGGCATTTAACTGTCAAATACAAGATCAGTACTTAGAGTGTACTTACAGACTGGTGAATAAAAGGAATATCTTGTGTAGCTGCTAATCTGCTAGAGAATCCTGCGTTTCCCTCTGGAATTCCAAAATTTAAAGGCTCTCGTTTTTTAATTACTATCTGAAAATAGACACACAAAGGCACAAAAAGTGGTAAGTCAAAGCAGTGCACAGATTCTTGACGACCACATAACTCTGTTGCTGTGAAGGCCCATCTACACAGTACTGTGCTGTGTCTTAAACCTGCTCAGGTTCTGGAACCTGTACAGCAAAATGAACTACTACGTGAGAGAACCTAAATGCAAAAGACCAAGAACTTCCTCCTCCTCCCACTAGTTTTTTCTTAAGTCACATGAAAAACTTATTACTGTATCAAGGCAAAGAAAGGGCACAACAAATAACAGATCAAATAGTCACATAAAAATCACAGAATCACAGAATGGTTTAGCTTGGAAGGGATCTCAAAGATCATCTAGTACCAACCCCCTGCCATGGGCAGGGACACCTTCCACTACACCAGGTTGCTCAAAATCTCATCAAACCTTGCCTTGAACACTTCCAGGGACAGGGCAGCCACAGCTTCCTTGGCAACCTGTTCCAGTGCCTCTCCACTCAGAGTAAAAATCTTCCTCCTTAGATCTAACTGAAATCTTCCCTCTTTCAGTGTAAAGCCATTGCCACTTGTCCTGTCACCACATGCCCTTGTAAAAAGTCCCTCTCCAGCTTTCCTGTAGGCCCCCTTTAAGTACTGGAAGGCTGCAATAAGATCACCCCGGAGCATTCTCTTCTCCAGGCTGAACCACCCCAACTCTCTCAGCCTGTCTTCATAGGAGAGGTGCTCCAGCCCTCGGATCATCTTTGTGGCCTTCCTCTGGATCTGCTCCAGCAGCTCCATGTCCTTCTTGTGTTGAGAATCCCAGAGCTGAACACAGTACTCTAGGTGGGGTCTCACGAGAGCAGAGTAGAGGGGCAGAATCACCTCCCTTGACCTGCTGGCCACGCTTCTTTTGATGCGGCCCAGGATACGGTTGGCTTTCTGGGCTGCCAGCGCACATTGCCAGCTCATGTTGAGCTTCTCATCCACCAGCACTCCCAAGTCCTTTTCCTCAGGGCTGCTCTCAATCCATTCTCCGCCAGCCTGTACTTGTGCTTGGGATTGCCCCAACCCATGTGCAGGACCTTGCCCTTGGCCTTGTTGACCTTCATAAGGTCCGCATTTCCCACCTCTCCAGTCTGTCAAGGTCCCTCTGGATGGCATTCCTTCCCTCCAGCGTGTCCACAACACCACACAACTTGGTGTCATCTGCAAACTTGCTGAGGGTGCACTCGATCCCACTGTCCATGTCTCCAACAAAGATGGTGAACAGCACCGGCCTCAGTACTGACCCCTGAGGAACATCACTTGTCACTGATCTCCACTTGGACATTGAACTGTTGACCACACTCTTTGAGTGTGACCGTCCAGCCAATTCCTTATCCACCGAGTGGTCCATCTGTCAAATGCGTATGTCTCCACAGAGACAAGGACGTTGTGTGGGACAGTGTCAAATGCTTTGGACACATCCTGGTAGATGATGTCAGTTACTCTTCCCGTATCCACCAACACTGTAACCCCATCACAGAAGGCCACCAAATTTGTCAGGCATCAATTTGCCCTTAGTGAAGCCATGTTGGTTGTCACCAGTCACCCCCTTATCTTCCATGTGCCTTAGCCTAGTTTCCAGGAGCATCTGCTCCATGATCTTGGCAGGCACAGAGGTGAGTGACTGGCCTGTAGTTCCCCGGGTCTTCCTTTCTTCCCCTTTTAAAAATGGGAGCTACGTTTCCCCTTTTCCAGTGGTGCGAACTTCACCAGACTGTCACGACTTCTCAAACATAACGGAGAATGGCTTAGCAACTTCATCTGCCAGTTCCCTCAGGACCCGTGGATGCATCTCATCAGGTCCCATGGACTTGTGCAGCTTCAGGTTCCTTAGATCATGTCAAACCTGATGTTCTTCTACAGTGGGCGTTCTTCATTCCCCCAAATCCCTGCCTTTGCCTACTGTGACTTGGGCAGTGTGGCTGGAGCACTTGCCAGTGAAGACCGAGGCAAAAAAGTCATTGAGTACCTCAGCTTTCTCCATATCCCAGGTAACCTGGTCTCCCATTTCTTTCCGGAGAAGGTCCACATTTTCCCTAGTCCTCCTTTTATGTCCAACGTACCTACGGAAGTTTTTCTTGTTGCCCCTGATGTCCCTGGCCAGACTGAATTATCTCAGGGCTTTAGCTTTCCTAACATGATCCCTGGTTGCTTGGACAATTTCTCTCTATTCCTCCCAGGCTATCTGTCCTTACTTCTACCCTCTGCAGGCTTCCCTTTTGGGTGTGAGTTTGTCCGAGAGCTCCTTGTTCATCCATGCAGGCCTCCTAGTGTTTCTGCCTGACTTCCTCTTTGTTGGGAATGCATCACTCCTGAGCTTGGAGAAAGTGATCCTTGAATATTATCACCTTTCTTGGTCTCTTCTTCCCTCCAGGGCTCTATCCCATGGTACTCTACCAAGCAGATCCTTGAAGGGACCAAAGTCTTCTCTCCTGAAGTCCAGAGTAGTGAGCTTGCTGTGCTCCCTCCTCGCCATCCTAAGTATCTTGAACTCCACCATTTCATTGTTACTGCAGCCAAGGCTGTCCTTGAGCTTCACATTCCCCACCAGCTCCTCCTGGTTGGCAAGAATGAGGTCCAGCATAGCACCTCTCCTCGTTGGTTTCTCTATCACTTGGAGAAGGAAGTTATCATGAACACATTCCATGAACCTCCTAGATTGCTTATGTCCTGCTGTGTTGTCCCTCCAACAGGTAACAGGGTAGTTGAAGTCCTCCATGAGGATCACGGCTTATGAATGTGAGGCTGCTCCTGTCTGTCTGTAGAGGGCCTCATTCACTTGGTCTTCCAGGTCAGGTAGCCTGTAGCAGACCCCCACTGTAATGTCACCTGTTGGAGTGTGGATCTTTGAAGAGACTGCACAAAGAAAACCCTGTGTGAATAAAGACTGGAGCTGGGAAGTTAGGCCTCAGGGGCGGAATGCCCTTGAAGTAAAGGATAAGAAAACTATGCTGTATGACAAGAGAGTAGTGTTTGCTTAGAGCAGAGCTTTGCTAGGCGGGTATTTTTTGAAATAGTCTGTTAAACACGACAAGCATATGTATCATCCAATAATGGTGTAGAAAAGGTGTGGTCTCAGGATGACTGACAAAAGTTGTCTATATAAGCAATAAGAACTGCGCAATAAACGAGATTCCTGCAGCTAACTCATATTGAGTCGTCTCTGGAGTCTTCAAATCCCGCTTCCGCAGTCACCTGTCCCTGTCCTCCCTTTAATCCTGACTCAAACTCTCAGTCAGCGCCTCATCGATCTCCAGGCAGAGCTCCACACACTCCAGCTGTTCATCGACATCTCCCAGTACTCATATAAGCTACCAATTACAGAACATACTCCTCGGAGAAATCCTGCTTCCATTAAAGGTCACGGTAAGACCCTGCTCTTGAAGACAGCACTCTCTGCACAGCTTTACTGCTTTAGGACATGAGCTCTCTTAGCTACTTCAATAGCATACCTGTGCAGACAATTTCAGTTTCAACAGTTGAAATGTAATTCACTAATCACATCAACTGGTAAAGCTCTGGACTGATTTGGCTGGAAAACATGCACTAATGCTTCTCCTAAAAGGCTTATTAGCAAATTTAACATGGTTGCTAAGATCATGTATCCTTTACTTGTCTTGACCTCAGGTTATGAATGCACTCACTTATTGCATTTAGCCTACTTTGAGTCTCTGCTGCTTCCCAAAGAGGTAGGTTCACAGTTCCACTGACTGTACAGATGCTAGTACCAATGCAAGAAAGGAAACAGGACTTGACCATCTTACTTAGCAATGACAGACTCTGCTATTTGACTGAAGTTCCTTTTCCAGACATGGTAGATAGGATACAATGCAAGCAGAACCCTCCTCAGATATTTGGGTTCATCTTGAGCCCAGCTTTGGTCAAAATACAAACGCAAACTCATATTTAAAAGTGGTAACAAGGCCAAGTTGGCAGGAATGTTCCTTACGGTGCCTGCAGTCATCCCTAGAGACACATTTAAACTAAACCCAGTATACAGCATTCAAACAACATGGACTCCTCTCGAGTTTTGTTCTGTACCTGAAGCTCAACCTATTAGGTGAAAAATGTCACTAGATAAAAAGAAGAAATCTACCTCTTCCTCAGTCCTCCTCTGCTCCCCAGACTTTGGGAGATCAAAATCCTTAGAAGAATTTACTTCACAGAATACTGCAGATCCTGAATATACAGAAAACTGACCCCAGGATCATCTCGGGTCTTTCACAGGACCCCAAAAAGATTCAGGTTGGAAAGGGCCTCAGCAAGTCTGTAATCCATCCTCCTCCTCAAAGCACTGCCAGCTCTGAGGCTGATGAAGGTACTCAAGACTTACCCACTTGAGTCTTCAAAACTTCCAGAGGTGGAGCCTGCACAACCTGCTCCAGTGCTTGACTACCTTCGTTGTGAAAAAGGTCTTCCAATTGACTCAAAGCCCTGTAAGTACCCAGCTGGAAGGTTTCCACATAGAACTAAAACTTGCAATTACCAGACATTTAATCAGCATTTATTTACGGTGTTGATGCTCTTGTGGATATCCCCTTCTGTCTTGTCTCCATAATAAAAAGGGATATTTGAAGAGCCAGCTATTTTTAAATACCAGCTCCCTAAGTCCAGCCTCACCAATATAACTTGGTGAAACAAGTTACAGTTGCTTTCTGTAACAGTAGTGCTGCTATCACAGACTTCAGTAGAGCAGGAGATGGAATGTCTCTGTTCAAATACTGGGAAGGTACGAGCACAAGTATGTTAGCGCAGTGGTTCCACTTTCAGAATTAAAGTGACTTGAGGCTCCTCACATTGTACTTCCCAGACCCTTCAGACTTATCAACTTCTTAAGTTTTCAACAACATTAAGACTAAAGATGTAAACATGAACTAGCATCCCATCTGGTAAGATCTCAAAGAATCAGTATTTTTAATTGGACATGTTAGACTAGACTTCAGCACCTATCCTCAGTTCGACAGGACAGCTTACTTTTACCAGAGGCACCTTCTATACATTGCCAATTTACTTATAGCCTATATTAAAGCAAGGAAAACCCTCCGTAAGTATAGTTGAAAGTGCAATACCTACTTTTTGAGTTTTTCTTATAGTTGGTGTCATGTCTTTGAAATAATCTGGTTCCATTTGTTCCAAAGGATTTTGCTGAGCAGCCACATTACCATTGCCACCTTCAATCTTCACACTGGTTGGTGCATCTTCATCCCAGGAAGACCAGTCTTCTACTTCTGGCTGAACAGAAGGACATGGCGCAAGTTAATATTATCTGCAAATAAAACTTGTCTTCTTATATCTTGCTAAGATATATACTTAATATTATATAGCATCTATAATAATAGTATATCTTTCTGACATACGTACCAATCCTGTTGTAGGACTGGTATAATCACTCTGTTAAGTGATTATCTATTAAGTCACCTACCACTTAAGCAATTACCTGTTTAGGAACAGATGAATAATCCACTGTGGTTGGCAAAGTTATTTGGTCTCCACTTAACTTTCGCCCTCTTCCAGACCTGAAAGAAAAACGTAGGATTCCTCCAAGCTCTGAAAACATGATCACTAAGTTTAAAAAAAACAAAAAGGAAGTCTGAGAACAGCACTACTGAAAACACTTATGGCTAAAACACTAAGTGCCTAAACTACTGCCAGTAAAAGCCTGCTAAACAAAGGAATTTCATCATGAATTGAAAGCAGTGTTCACAAGAATTTTGAAGTGCAATTTACTTTTCAAACTGCAGTGGAAATAGAGGAGAAGCAATTCTAAGAAATATGCAAATGGACAAATGAACTCACTTATTTGCATACAGTCAGTTACAATTTTTTGATTCTCAGTGCTTATGAAGCAAACACTATTGACCTACATTTGTTCAAAGATAACCATTTCTACTGTAAACCAAGAAATTTTTCTACTTGTCTTAAACGTTAAGCTGTGTCTAAGAAATTGCTTTCTAAGCTGCTAAAGCGCTTTTTTCCTTCAAAGTCCAAACAGAGGTAGTACAAGATTATGCAAGTCAACAGCTTCTGTTCAATACACGCTTCTACTTACTTAAAGAATACTGCTTCAAAGAAACTATTTCAGTGACTACATCAAATAATTTTAATTGAAGACAAACACTAGTGCATTGCAAACAAACCATCTAGAGATTTACTCAATGACAGTGTTCAAAGATGACAATAATAATTAAAATATTCTTAGCTGATGTTGGCTGCATTTTAAAACCTTACACCACAAGAGAACAGAATTCAGGCTCACACTCATGTTTTCCCCAAGGAGTGTAAGCTCCTAGAGCAAGACAGTCACATCACTGACCTTATGCAGCTTGGAAAAGTAAGTTTCATTTATTACTACTGATGAGAAGCTACAATTCGTAGCTTGTATCCATTAGTTTTACTATTATAGAACATTCTACCATCAACTCAGAATAGCTGAATCGCTTGCAATACCACCTCTGCTGCATGCTGGTGAGTGATCAAACATACTTTTCCTCCTTGAAGCCCAATAGACTGTTCTGCAGGAATCATCAGGTGCTATCGTCAAATTTTCAAGCTTTATATAATCAACCCTAGCCCCTTTAGAAACTGTTCCTTTAGGGTGAAAAGCTACACAATTTAGGAGTAAAGGAAAACACTGTTCCCTCAAACACATTAGAGACTTCTGGTTCGGGCTGACCAGATTTAGTTGATGTTTCTAAAGGAACCATTTTCCTTCAGACCTGTACAACGTACACCTCTCGAATACTATTCCATGTCATCTGTTCTGCAATTATATATATTTCCCTATTTATATGATCTAGAAGACTCCAGCAAGTGGCTTATAACAACATTCATCTAGCCAAAATTATTATACTGACAAGGGTGAATGTGGCAGGAAACAACTTCTGTCATATAACACGGACAGGGCAGCACTGAGGAAGGCTACATATCTCCACTTCTTTTTCTACAAAGGGAACAAGATGCTTGTAGGAAGAGTTGCTTCACAATCATCATTAGACACATATTGATCACTGCTCCGGATGCCAAACGCCTCAAGAATTCTTGGTTTTGTTTCTCCTTACTAATTAGCAGCATCCGGATTTCTCAGCTGGAGAAGATAACTAAATGTTTTTAAACACAATGACGTTTCATCTCTTTTTATACTTACACCTTTTATTTCCTGGAAACAGCAGATTCAGGCAGGCTGTTGTTTATCAAAAGAAGTTTTAGCTAAAGAGATGACTAGTACTATATGTAGGTTTTACACTGACTAGAAAGATGCAGGATCTCTACAGGCACTTGTTTAATAAAAAAACTAATGTAAACTATATAATCTAAATAAGTACTAGCCCATCTCCATTGAATTAAACAGCACATTTAATTAAATCACATTTGCTGGTTATCAGGCATGTTCATATGCAGAGGTGCATTACAGGAAATCAAAATTTAGCAAGCTACGCTTTGCAGCTGACATTAAACAAGCGACACATCTGTAGTTAATGGACTGAACCAATTTGATCCCCTAACTTGCTTACGTGAAAGACTTTAAATTTTCATTGTTTCGGCTAATTGTTATTCACAGAAGAAAAGTGCTCCTACTTTTTACTCCTAAGCAGTTCCTCAGCTGTTTGTTTCAAAGATTTAGTTCCTTCAAAAGTGGGAAAACGGAAGAAAATACTGTCATTACACCTAGTACACAACTACCTGCCCCTAAAAGCTGCCTTAACACTTAGAAAGATGAAGAGTCCACATAAGATAGAAGCTATTACCAACTCAGTATTTTGGCTTCTTTTACAACTTGAACAGCAAGTATTCTTAATTTAATTTGGAATTCAAATCACAGAACTAAGGTTGACATCTATATAGTTGTATGCATTTTAAAGCATCACGAGATCCGTAGTGAATTTACCAACCAGTTGAGAGCTTCCTCTTATTCTTGTAATAAGTAAAGGTGAACAGGAAATAAACAGTTATTTTGTGTCTACCACATATTCTTCGTATGTTTTAACCTCACTGTCATCCTACACAAAAGAATACATCTCTCTAGATTGTTATTTGTTTCTCTAAAACAGCATTGTGCAAGAGTGGCAAGAAGCAACAGTAGTTCAGATGACAGCACAGTGCTGAGATGATCTACCTCAGGTACTCTGCTACTGTGCTACTGAACTCTACTATTGTAAAACCATAACCTCTTGAGGGCTTTTTGAATGCCTCTAGGAACTACACTGATGTGTTCATGCGTCTACAACTAACTCAAAAGAACACTAAGTGTGACTTACAAGAGTAAGCAAAAATAAGTTATGTTCATCTAAAAAAAAAAAAAAAAGGTGGTTCCCTCAAAGTTTAATCGCTACCCTCCAAACTTTTAAAAGAATCTTCAGTAGGCAGAAGAATCTGAAGTCTCAGGCAACTGTTTCTTGACAAAGCAGGATAAGAATCACTTACATTTCTAATGAAAGCCTACTGACTGATGACTGGGTAGATGCTGCCATTAACCACATCTCTTAAAAAACAAAACATCACGTGCCAAGGACTTCTAGAAAACACAGAGAACAATTTTTTCTTGAAGTTTGACACAGGATAGTTTGAAAAGGCAATTGTAAAACCCTGCCATAGCTGACACTCCTCATTAGAGCTATAATACCACAAAATACACTCACAACTGCACTACATAGACTTTTGAACTCTGAAGGAATACGCAGATTAAAGAATGAATTTGACTTAGTTATTTGCCTTGATTGTTTTGCAATTAGTACAATCAGAACTGGGAAAAATGGTGGGTGGGTGTTGGGAGAAGGAAAGAAGTGCAAGAATCTGTAATTTAAAAAGAAAAGGTAACTATATTAAATAAGACATGTTTACCTGCATATTAACTTTTTAATGAAAGAAAGCACTGCTGCCAGGCAAGTACAGATTTTAAAGAGTCGAAACTGTGTTATGGCCATGGTGAGAAACCCTTCCTGGAAAAGAAAAAAAGTTAGATGTAGAGGATTATACATCTTCACATAGTTCTTAAAGTCCATTTCCTTAGTTGCTGATAAGCAAGGAGCATTCTGTGAAACTATATTAATGCAAGAAAAGAGAGGAGGTACCTGGAGCAAAGACACTACCTACCTACTGTCAGGACGTTTTGCTGATGTAAATAATACAAGTACCTAATCTATATGGCCTTTAAAGAAACAGCACACAACCATTGGTAAAGTCACAGTTGAAGGCACTTTTAGAGGGCAAGTGCGGGCAATCAATTGCGGTGACTGTACAGCTGATCTGTTTTAGACACTAACAATGACACTGAACACTAGCAAAGAGAACAGAGTAACCATCAGCAAGAAGCTCACGCTTGCTTGAGCAAGTCTGGCATATACAAATTATAAATTCAGTCATTATGTCAAAACCAAAAATTAGCCGTTTAAATTTAGTTTCCATTTTGATGAAAATGCATGATGAGAACAAACTTTGTTTATTTTAGAACTAGTGTCACTAACAAATCATCAGCAAAAAAAAGACTGTTCATCCTATGCGCACTATATAGCACAAGTTGACCCCTTGATCTATCAATATTCCTATGCGAGACTGGATCATGCAAGCAAACTCAGCCAAGAAAAAATTGATCTTTGGCTGAAGCCACTTATGTTGGCAGCTACTTTTCAGTGTCAATTTGATAACCTAGAGAATTTATACTCAGTATCCCACGTTTTTCCAACAAATCCTCTCAAATAGGTACAGACTGAGTCAGAATAATCTGCTGTAATTCAAGGATCCCTTTTCTCTCTTCTATATGTGAAGATTTCAGAGTAAAGAAGAAGAGGCAGGTTTCACAAACAGCTTTTCATGATCTATATCTACACTTGTAACAACAGTTTCTGTTGCAAGTTTAACATACCTCCTGGTGAGAAGAGAAGGCAGCCCTGTGACATTTTCCTCAGGCCATGAGTATTCCAAGGACGGACAGCTTGATTTCACATATGCTATGGCATTTAAATCACTTTTTATATTCCAGGCTTTAAGTTAGGAGGAGTCAGGAAGGTGGATCATTAGGTAGGCTGCTCCAATACTGCCCTGAGGATTTTATTCAAAAGTACATAATGGGATTTTGTGAGCTTCATGGAGCTTAGATTTATTTTCTATTGGTGCTCATTTTCTAGATACTGTAACTAGTATTAAACTGAAAATATTGCTTCATATACAGTCCAGATAAGGAATTTCTGCTACTGAAAAATCACACAGGGTGGCTATTAAACAAACAGGCCTTTTTACTGTAAAACTAACAGCTTAGGTCAATAAGTAACCACTAAATTACAGACTGCACTACCAAGGTGTAGCTCAGGAGAAAGGCCTCATAGGACACATTTCACCTCTTCAACACTAGTGTTATCTTAATCTCATTTCATGGGAGACTTAAAAACATAGCAGACCTTTGACAACAGTGGGTATTAAACAAGCTTTTCATCTAACAGGAAAAGGGAACAGTCAAACTTCCCACAAAGAAGCAGGAACAGCAGACACCGTCCAACACATTTAGCTTTGGGTTTTAAAGACAGGACTATCATTTCGTATTGTGCTTCAGTACTTCCTTACGTTATAGAATAAGCAATTTTGACAATATCTAGGTGATAGGAGAATGCATCAGTCAAGAACTTGAAAGATTCAGAAATAGTGGAAGTTAGTAAATAAACAGCAGATAGCAACTAGATGGACAGTTCTCTCTTCTAAAAGTAGAAATTATAGCAAGCCAATGCTGAGTTGGTGAAAGAAATTGTCACTTTTTTAAAAGAGTCAGCTAGAAGCCATCTACCTGGGATCTGACGTGTGAAGAGCAGGTGAACTGCTGAAATGAGAATAAAGGTACTTCTTTTCTGAAAGGAAGTTTGTTTAGAAGCTCACTCCGCTCTTCTCTATCAGAATTCAGTCTTCTATCAGCTTGGGGGGCAGAAGGGAAGGAGTAGAAAAGTACTCAACATTAGAAAGAATAAAGCCATTTTCCCCACTGTTTAGCCTACCCAACTGCCACACTGGACAGCCAAGACAGATCCTAAATTAAAAAAACAACTATTGATTGAAAAGGTTGTTTTAGGAAGCAACCATTACTCAAAAGCTTCTGCAGACTCAATATTAATTGTGCCTAAGTTCAAAGGACTGAGAAGTTTATTAGTTAAGTACAAAACTAAAACAAAAACAACTTTCCAGTGTGTCACGTATACATACACATATATATGCATGTGTACATGTGTGTATATATATACATAAGCTCAGTTTTTCAAATAATCTTTTTATATATCCAATTGCATCAATCAGTATACTGTATTGACTTCCCAATATAAAGTTAAGCAACTAAAAAAAAAACAGAACCCACAAGAAGTCTGGCTTACAAGCTTGTGAAGTCCACTGCTGACAAGAGTTATCCCCCAGAATGTAATCCATTTTCCCCAGGTCATTCCTGTACATAAGTGACTACACTTTCAATATCACCAGTATCCCTGCTTGACAGGGTTCAATACCTATTGTCATTTCCCACAACAATCAGATAACTTGTCCTTCTCCACTTTCTACATGTGATGTAAAAATTTCACACTTACGATGAGAGAGAGACACACGCAATCACACAACATCTTTCTGTTAAAGCTGCAACTGTGGCAGCACTAGGACCTTCAAGACAGCAGGTACTGTTTTGCCTGCTTCTTCTACGAGCTTTGATTGTAGTCTTCTCAGTTAAGTTAAGCTGTGCACACTACCAATGGTCAGATGCACAACCAGAGTTTTGGCAGCAATGTTATCAGCTAGCCATAGTAACCAGCAGTCCTCCACCTTTAAGGAGTACTTTCACCTGTGTAACTAGTTTTTACCCTGCTAATTAAGATATGAAGCAGTATATACGCATTAATTTTAGCAATATGCTAAAAACTGTTTAAAATAGAACCTTGAACCATTTATCGGCTCAAGATTAGGACACGTCAAGCATTTTCTCCCCAGTGTCTGAAACAGCATTTAAAGCATTTGCATTGTTGCTCTAAGGACAGCACTACCCAAAAAGAAAAGCTAAAGGTAAGCTAAATGTTTTGAGTTTTGTTTGGCGCCTTTTGAGGTTTGGTGGGTTTTTTTTTTTAAGTTAACTAATTAATTTTCTCAAAGGGAAATAATTTTATGTTCTGAAGCAGCTGTATGAATACAAATGTACATGGAACCTTCATATTTCCCGAGTTCACTGCAAAGTTAATTCACCTGATATCATTACACTAAACTTGTTAAGTGAAACAAAGTGTTTGTTCTTTTCTTGTTATCCACCTTTCTCAAACCCTGGTAAGAAGCCCAGCCATGTATCTTCCATATCTCATGAACAGGAACAAACACTGAACAGCGTAATGCTAAATGGCAGGGCCACAATCTTCCTTCTTCCTTTCCTTCTCTTAAGCCTTTCCCTGATAATCAATCCCAAAAGAAACTACAATTATATCAGCAGCTGACTATGACACAGGACAGCACAGAGACATAATACTAAGTGGCACTGCACCAGCAGAGCATTGCTAAGCAGATAGAGGCAAAGGTGAAACACTGGACTAGAATTCAAATGATCTGATAAGAGTTCTCTGCCAGCCTGACAGACCCTTGTGCATATCGCACCTCATGCCACAGCTTCCCGTTTGTAAAATGGGATAGGGCTTTCCTTCTCCCCTTATTGAGATTGCTTCTAGTGTATTACATTTATCAGACTGTCAACTGAACTTTTAAGTTCCATTACAATAGATACAAATAAGTAAATAAATCAGGACATGAATCCTAATTAATTTAATTCTATGTCGATGCAACAAGTTTGTAACAGACACCAAACTGAACTAGAGTTTGACTTGCATAGCTCATACTGCCTTCTATTGGTAAAAAGTCACAGCAGTTGCTCACATGGAAGACGAGGACAGAAGGGATTAAATCATGGCAGCTGCAAGGTGTTAAACACATTAGAGCTAAACCAGAAGAATGAGGAAACCTACCTCCGAAAACATTTTATGAATCCATAAAGGAAATACAGTGAAGGGAGGGAAAGTTCAGCAGAAGTTTCTTGAACTGAAACATTTTTACATTGCTTTGGGTTTGCAGCAGTGGCCTGGTTAGAGCTCCTGGCACCTCTGACCTCACTGACACTAGCCAGCAAGCCATTTGCAGCACCAGCTGCGTTAGTTACTATGGTACAATGAGCAAGATTCTCACTGGCCATCGCTATACAATGAGCACGTTGTCATCTGGAGAAGCACTTCCTCTTTCATACTCAATTGCACACACAAACACCACTTAGTATTTCACACACAAACAACACTTAATATTGCAAGAGACAGAGATGATTCTAACATAAAGTCACTTTGTGGCACTAAAATTGCTTTAGAGGCTTGTTTTTTTCCTAGTGAACTCATCTCCTATGGATATCGAAAAAGATGTCAAAACATTCGTATTATAGAGCACCTATCCTCTCTTTGCTCTCCTCTGTTCCTCTACAATGCTACTGATCTGTGCTGTGTAGTTTGCTTTAGATACCACCACCTTTGGAATGGAATTTCAGCCTTGAATTACTAGTGCTTTGTGAATCCATTACATTTTCTTTCACATCAGCTCATCTGTGACTCTGGAATGAATACATGAAGACATCTTGAAAACAGTGATTTTAGCTTATATTAAACACAGCTGGCTAAATAGCCAAAGCATGGCATCTAAATCAAGACTAAAAATAACTTGTCTGAAACTGAAAAGTTCCCCACCAACCACATGTTTACATGAGCAGCCACAAAAGAAGTCTCATCCTCCTAAAGCAAAATGACAAGTCCATTTCCTAGTACAAAAGACTAACATAGCCCTGAGTGCTTACATGTGTCAGCACCAAAACTCCACAAAGGCACCACTGAACCAGTGTGTTTTCTCTAGAACAGCTGATAGAAACCTATTAAGTACCATATGATTAGTACAAAGTTTCAGT